CTTGATTCTTCCTCCCTTACCACCTGCCCCCTTAATATACACCATTATTTCCACTCGATATTCGCGCCATTAAGTTACCTCAGGGACACAATCTAACGCCAATATTACCTTTATGATTGAAGTCATTTATAGTGCGGGTGTGGTGTCGGTGGTGAAGTTATGGTGATATGGTGTCTGTAAGTCTGTCACCAGTTGTCACCAGTAAGTCACCAGTATCATACCAGTAAGTCACCAGTATCATGTAAGTAATTCACCAGTAGTTACCAGTATCATTACCAGTAGTCACCAGTATCATACCAGTAAGTCACCAGTAGTCACCAGTATTCTACCAGTAATTCACCAGTAGTCACCAGTATCATACCAGTAATTCACCAGTAGTCACCAGTATCCTACCAGTAATTCACCAGTAGTCACCAGTATCCTACCAGTAATTCACCAGTAGTCACCAGTATCATACCAGTAACTCACCAGTAGTCACCAGTATCCTACCAGTAACTCACCAGTAGTCACCAGTATCCTACCAGTAACTCACCAGTAGTCACCAGTATCCTACCAGTAACTCACCAGTAGTCACCAGTATCATACCAGTAAGTCACCAGTAGTCACCAGTATTCTACCAGTAATTCACCAGTAGTCACCAGTATCATACCAGTAATTCACCAGTAGTCACCAGTATCCTACCAGTAATTCACCAGTAGTCACCAGTATCCTACCAGTAATTCACTCAGTAGTCACCAGTATCCCACCAGTATCATAACAGTAACTCTCACCAGTAGTCACCAGCATCATACCAGTGACCACTCTCAGTAGTCACTCAGTATCCTACCAGTATCTACCAGTAGTCACTCAGTATCCCACCAGTAATTCACACCAGTAGTCACCAGTATCCTACCAGTATCATACTCAGTAACTCACCAGAAGTCACTCAGCATCATACCAGTAATTCACACCAGTAGTCACCAGTATCATACCAGTAAGTCACCAGTAGTCACCAGTATTCTACCAGTAATTCACCAGTAGTCACCAGTATCATACCAGTAATTCACCAGTAGTCACCAGTATCCTACCAGTAATTCACCAGTAGTCACCAGTATCATACCAGTAACTCACCAGTAGTCACCAGTATCCTACCAGTAACTCACCAGTAGTCACCAGTATCCTACCAGTAGTCACCAGTACCACACCTTTTTCACCATTTCCCCTCGTCTCCCCTTACCTCTTATCTCCCCTTGGTTATTCTCTCCCCCTTTCCCTTATCTCTAGTTTGTCTCTCTCATTCCATTCCCTTTGCATCTCTCTTCCTCTTCTTTATCTCTGTTTTCTCTTCTCTATCTCGCTTTCCCCCCTGTTCTCTCTCTCTCTCTCTCTCTCTCTCTGCTGTCACAACACCATAACACACTATACTCCATGCTACCATAACATCACCACATCACCATAGCACACTATACCCCCTACTGTCCTAACTCCACCATAACACCACCATAACATCACCATAATACCACCATAACATCACCATAACATCACCATAACACTACCATAACACCACCACATCACCATAGCACACTATACCCCCTACTGTCCTAACACCACCACAATACCACCATAACATCACCATAACACCACCATAACACCACCATAACACACTACATCGTACTGGTTGAAGCAATACGTGGTCAGCTATGATCCTATAATTCACTAAACCGCTAAACATTATTCCTCGTAATTCATTGACCTCCGCGCCGGATTCATGACGCTAATATTTGGCGACATTGGCGATATATCTAGTTATATTTGGCGATATTGGCGATATATCAAGTTATATTTGGCTACATTGACGATATATCAAGTTATATTTGGCGACATTGGCGATATATCTAGTTATATTTGGCGATAAAATGCTATTAAACGTATCCTCTTAATATTTTCCCAAGGATGAAAAATTCAGTGGGATGTGATATGTGTATCTCGGGGTTACAGATATTAGGTGATGTTTTGGAGTTAGTGAAAGACTTAAATTCCCAACAGGGGAATAAAAGTCAAATATTGCTGGAACCGGAGAGAATTAACGTCGATAATGCACAGTGTATCATCTCCACAATATATAGGCAATATATTTTTATGCGTATTTTATTACTTTTTTATGTCGTTTATTAGTTAATGTTATCGAGTTTATAGAAGAGTTTAATTCTCCTAAGAAAATTAAAAGTCCGTGAATTGTTGGAACTGGTTAATAATTGTCTGTTTACAACTATGAAGTAATGTTTTGGTGTTTGTAGAAGAGGAAAGTTCTCCAAGAAAAATTAAAAGTTTGTATATTACTGGAACTGGTGTCGTAATGTTGATCTTGAGTTACAGATACCAAGTGATATTTTGTAGTTGGTTAAAAGACTTCGATTTTACAGTGGTATTATAAGTCGATATATTATTGGAACCGTGTATGGTTACTGACAGTTAGCCAGATATGTACTGTGAGGTTGACACTGTTCTATTTTTCAAGATAATTTTAATAATGAAGCTTAGATTTCAGTATGGTGTAAATAAACTGTGTGTGTGTGTGTGTGTGTGTGTGTGTGTGTGTGTGTGTGTGTGTGTGTGTGTGTGTGTGTGTGTGTGTGTGTGTGTGTGTGTGTGTGTGTACATTTAATCCAGAACATACATAAAATAATAACTTTTGTACAACGATATCTATCTAATTTCACACCTATCTATAGCAATTAACTCTTCCATAAAACCATTAAAAGGTGAGTCAGGTGATATCACTAACAGGTATATATAGTACAATATATTTATGCCTACTCAGTTACACAAGTCTCTCGCAATTATGGTGTAGGGTGGCCGGGCAGGTGATGTTTGAGCCTATCATTCACCAGCTAACCTAACCTAACCTAACCTAACCTAACCTACTCTCACCTAACCTAACCTAACCTAATATAACCTACTCTAACCTAACCTAACCTAACCTAACCTAACCTACTCTAACCTAACCTAACCTAACCTAACCTAACCTAACCTAACCTAACCTAACCTACTCTAACCTAACAGGATGCTGGTCCACTCAAGGGTTGTTCCACCATCATCAGGCCTAGTTGATTGTCTTCTTATTTACAGCTGAGTGCACAATGGCTAGTTATGAGATCACCTAATAATAGAACCCCTGTTTATTCGATTGTAAACTACGGTGCCAATTAACCTATAGAACCGTAGTCAAATACCAATACATTTAGGGACGACGTGGATACGGCACACTGTAGACTAAACCTTTTTTTTTTGTCGATACACAAGGAGACACTGTGGCAGGCATTGAAACCCGACCACATTCACATACCTATCTGTAAAGTTAGGTACCCATTCACAGGTGGGTCGACTGAGGGTGCCCTGGACTCGAACCAGCCACTTTAAAGGTG